TCCTAGGGAAGTAGCCTATCTGAACGCAGGCCTGAAAGAGCTGCTGTATAGGAACACCTATCAGGCCCCAAATGGATTGTAGTAACTTTGTAGTAATCCCATCAATCCCAGGGGTTGTAGCCTTTGTGAGAGTTGCCTGGTGTACTTCCTCAATGTTGCTAGTTTGGTCAAACATCTCAGATGAAGTACTTAGCGCGCGATTCAAATCCACTTCCCGTCAATCGTCTAAGTTAATTGGGTTTTCAATACTCCCACCCTTGCCCTGCAACTCCTTTTGTTTTGCCAAAGATGACAACACAGGCGCCGAACCGACATTCCCTGATAGCGGATGTCTGGCGGAATTGGCCGCGGAGTAATGCTTCCTCAGCGTTTTCAAAACTTCGCTGACACCATCTTCTTGGGTCAGGCGAGTCTCTCGTGACACTGACAATTCATTCCTATTCCTTGGTGAGGGAAAGCTCACAGATTGTTCTCTGACTCGATGGGTAGGTTTGAGCGGTGTTGATTTGTCGGCAATGTTTAGTGGCTTGCTTGCCGCTCCAAGAGCACCTGACGGTACTGCCCCTGAGCCTATTTCTTGGGATGAAGAGTCGCCTATTAAGTCCACGAAATTGTCGTCGTATAATTTGAATTTTGCCGGGGGGTTGGATGTTGCCGGTCGTTTAGGCAGTGGCGTTACTCGAGCAGAATTCCCGGCCTTCCTCTTTCGCCCGCGCTGCCTTGTCTGGACTTTTGGTAACGCACTTTTCTTGGCTGCGGGTTTGCCATTTCCAGCTGATGCCTTCTCTGGGCCCTTCCGCCATTCCAAGAATTCTTCGTCGGACATTCCCCAGCCGAGAACCGCGTCCAGAATCACAGACCGGACAATTTCAAGACGCTTCCCCACGACGGCGCGGTCAGCCTCTTTTCCAGTCGGAAACCCGTTAAGCACAAGCATTCCCTGAGGACATCTAGCTTCCTCGATGCCTGGAAATATCTGGCGTGGGTCAATATCCCAACGCTTGAAAGTTCGGAAACTGGCTGATGTTCGCTTTGTCTTTGTCGAAGTGAGGTCTCAACTTGGAGCTGAGATTGCTCAGTTGGGCCTCTAGTCGCCTTCGCCACAAATTCCAGCTTCTTTCGCCCGCATTTGCCAATGTTTTTGAAAATTCTTCCACAAGTATCTTCTTTTTAGCCAACTCTTGGCCAACAGCCGTACCACAACCGTGCAGGCCTTTGGTGTAGTCGCACCCCGCCACCATGGCATACAAAACGATGCCATTCGCTGTAATACGCGTCTTCTGTTCGATATCTCTCAGCCGATACACTTTTGCTTCGTCTTTGCTCTTTTGTCCATTGCTTTTGAGGAGATTTTTGACGAGGACGGTGCACCCAAACATAAGCGTGTCAGAGTCCTCTGACCAAACCGCATCCACTAGGCCTAGCCTCTGCAGGGCAGCGCATTCAGCCTCGGCTTCGCCAGGAGCCTGGCGCCAGGGTATGTGAAGTTTCGTCAAGGTTTCCTTGAAAAAACCGCTGTTCTCTTCCCTGGCCTTGCGTTCTGTAGAATCCTCGGTCTTCTTGTCGCGCTTGACATCTGGCCGTCCTTCACCATCGAAGACAAAGATGATCTCGATACCGATGTGCATCAGGGACCAAATGCGGTCGAGCATGTTCAACTCGCGTGGTCTGGCGGGAGGAGTTCCTAGATGAGCAACTGTTAGACGTGCCTCATTTCGGTTTTGGGGCAAGCGTAAGTAGGGATTCAAAAGGGAAGAGCATGGGCAAGGTGGGTGCGTGAGAAATCAAACGCAATAGAGGAGTGTGGCGACGAACTTCTTTTGATCTCCTCGAAGGCTTCAACAGTGATGGCTTTGTAACGCCAGTGCGCTTCGTCTATGGCTATCCGCAGTGGCCGCCTATGCTCCTTAATATGTTCCGCAGCCCATCGTGCTAAGGAAGTGTCGACGCCAGTGTCTTTGATGACCTCCCAGAACCTAGAATGGACAATCGTTAGCACAATTCTGCCCATGCTTCGCAGTTGAAACTTACCCATTGATTCCCATGGTCTGAATGTAGAATTAGCACGAAAAGGGCGTCTGACTGGGATGAGTTTCGATGAGACGCGTATCGCGGGCAGCAGCAGCTGGCTTGAGATCGAATCCAAGAGCGGCTAACCGGCGACTTAAATACGTGAAAAGAAAGAGGGAACCGTCTAGAATTGAATCGAAGTGAAAAGAACGAATGCAGCCGCGAAAGGCAGGTCCGTCTAGATCTGCGACGCGAGAAAAGCAATAACGCGCTGCACTCTGAACCTGGAGGGAGAGTTCACAGTTACTTCCAATATAGGCAAAGTGGGTCCCGGCCACAGGAGGTCAACGGAGGTACGTGGATGCCCGGAATGCTTGAGACGTGAGAGTTCCATCGATTGACGGGCTGAGTTGTAGTCGATGTAGAGTAGAGGGGAGAGAGAAGGGGAAAATAAATAATCGTAGAGTGGGCGAGAGCGAGGGACACGAGGACAAAGAACGCACTGTGCATCGGCAACAGCAGAAGGCGCGGGTGAAGCATCCCAAGGCAGGTGCCATTGGTATATAAGAAGGTTCACACCTCCAGCCAGGCAACAGCGGGTGTAGCGGTGGTGGCCGTGAATATGCTGAGTATGGCCCAAATATCAGCTCAGCACGAGTCCACCTTATACAACTCTGGGGTTAGAGGTTCGAATCTCGTTGGGATTCCTTTTTTTCCCACTTCCCCTTTCTTTTACGTCCCCGTTTGCTCGCGTCCTACCTTCAAGGCACCGACAGATGTGTCTGTTCGTCAACCAAATAAAGTACGAGCATTGCAAGAGGGTATACACTAGTAGTACAAGTACAGTCATGACCTGTAGTCATGATGGGTCTCGCGGCCCTGTCCGCCTCAACCCCCGTCAACGCCGTCGCAGTGCCCAATAAATCATACCGTGTCCCCGCGTCATCTTACATCTTGATACCCCTAGCATTCACCTCACCCTTCTCTCCAATGTTCAGACGTACGCGACAATCAGGGCAATACCACTTCGTCGTGCGCGCGGGTATCTGCGCCATGCCGACACACTCCAGGTGGAACCATTCCTTGTCGCAGTTCTAGGCAAGTTGTTAGCTCAAGCGGATGCTCATGCCAAGCAGCAAGACTTACTTCGTTATCGCACGCAATCATATCCCCGAAGCTAACGCGGTTGCAATCGCAGTACCTCGGCTCGTCGGGGTCAATCGGGTTTCCCTCATCGTCTTCCTCCAACTCAATCTCAATCGGCTGGCCCTTCTCCTTCTTTTGGGTTCGCTTCTTCTTCGGCGCGGCCTTTCGCTTAGAGGCGGCACTACTGCCTCCAGCGTTCGTCTTGCTGACGATACCAGGCGCGGGCTTTCTGGTTCTCTTGCTCGGCTGTCTAATCTCTGGCACAGGAGTGTTCCTAGCGGTACTAGTTCTACGGGGTCGCTCGGCGGCCAGTGAGGGCTGTGGTTCTTGACTACTAGCTTTTCCTCGCGAGCTGGGACGACGACTCTCCGGGACGGGTGTGGTGCCTGGCGTCGCCGCCCGGGAGGACGACTGCTTGATAGACGGAGCGGCGGACGATGAGCGGTGTACGAGCGGCAGCTGGGGCTGCGGCACAGATGTAGGAGGATCAACTTGTTGCTGGGTTTTCTTAGCTTCGCCCCTTGTCTCTCTACGTGTTCCGGGGTCACGAACAGGTGGAAGAATTGGTGTTGTTGACTTCTTGGGAGACAGCACCGGCGGTGGAATCGGCGTCTCGGCCGGTGGCTTAGTTACAATGTTCGCCGGGATGGGCGCGGGAGGTGGTCCAGCTTGAACGACAGAGCCAGTTGGCGATGACGCCGGTGCACTTGTGTTGGCAGGTTTTGGCGCAGTATTTGTCCCAGGTGCATGCTCCTGACCTGGCACAGGGATGGGCACCGGTGTAGTCATCTTGGGCGTGGCAGCGGAACCTCCTGGCGTGAGAACCGGTGGCGGAATGGGAGTTTCGGTCAACGGCTGAGAGGCAAGATTGGCTCTCAGATTTGGGAGCGGGACCGGAGTCTCCGTCTTCGTGCGCTTCGGTGCCGGACGTGGCGCTGGCGTCTCGACTACTTCTGGCTTCTCAGCTTCCGCCTCTGGGATGGAGTCTCTTTTCCGCTTGTTGCCATTCGCCTTCGCCCTAGACCTCGAGCTTGACTTGGGCGCTGCTGTTGTCTGCTCGTTATTGGCAACTGAAGGTGCGGGTGGCTTGTCGCTAGACATTAAAAGCCGCGCTGCCTCTCTGAACTGCCGGGCGGATTCCTCAGCCTCCTCGGCCGCCTGTTTGGCTAACGACTCCCGCTTCAACTTCTTCGCTTCGTTTAGTTTCATACCCCTGTTGCTCAGCTGAATGTCGTCGGATGCGAGGGCAGCAGCACTTATAGCGCCCTCGGGAATCGGCTTGTTTTCAGATCCAGCATCAGGCGCAAGAGCCGGCGGAACCTGATCAAAGGTTCTGCCTTCATCCTCGGCCTTCTTCTTTGCCTCCTTGTAGGCATCGATACCACGACCAAGTGTCTTTAGCTCTCGCAATATCATAGTATCGCTTGGGTTCCACGTAGCGTTCTTCTTCATGCGCTTCCTGAGCCTGGCAAGCTCCCAGGGCGTCAGCTGCAGCCAGGGGGCATCCGTGCTTCCTATCACGGCATTCTCCGGTGGCGGCTGCAACGCAGCGGCAGGAGTAGCTGGAACAGTGTGGACCTTGGGAGGGCGCGATGCCGGTGCTTTCGGGGTCTTTGGAGGTCTTGCTTTGGGTGTTTTGACGACCTTGATTCTTGGTGCAGGCGTAGACCGGGTGGGTGGAAGAGATTCCTCGTCGGAGGAGGAGGAGCTCTCGTCGCTATCATCCGAGTAGGCCACAAACTGGTCGTACGGCGGAAGAACCTCACCAGGAACAGTAATCCTAGGAATCCGTGGACGCCGCACCTTCTCCCCATTCCCGGTCCGCATCATCTTGGGTGCTCTGACCATCTGCGGCGACTTGGACGTTGCCACAGGGCTCTTCTGCTCCTCCGCGGGATAGTTCTCCATCATGTTCTTCAACTTCGCCAGGATCGCATTTGCGCGATTGTAATGCCGGTTGACGTTCTCTGACATGCGCACCGCCTCGGCATGCGAGTATACCCTCGAGCTGACTGCATGATTCAGGCTGCTTGAGATATCGGCGCGTAGCTGTGTGGGTGAGGGCCTCTCGTCGGCCGGAAGACTGGGAAGCTTGCCCCAGGTAGAGGTGAGGTTGTGGACGTTGAGGGAGGCCTCGGAGTAGGTCTGGTCGAGCTTGCCGATCAGGGTAAGGGATCGCATCATATCGGAAGGGAGGTACTCGGTGAAGTCGAGAAAGTCGGTGACGGTGGCTTGCGCATCGGGATCGGCGCGCATCTCGAGAGATTCGACGGAGTTGCTGATGGAGCCAAGAGACTGGCGGATGTCGTGCTCGACCGTCGTCTTGTTTTTGGGCGACACATCGACGTCCATGGCGTCTCCGGCGCGCTCCTCGGTGGTGGCCATCTTTGCTGAGCTGAAAATGTCTCTGCGGCCGCTTCTTGGGAGCGTTTATCCCTATGAATGCATTTGTATCGTGAATTGCGGTTGTGGGTGTTGGTTGCGCTGCAATTCGATACTGCGCATACTTTGAGATGTTGTCGGCTGGCGCGTTTACGAGGGGAGTCGCGACCTTGAGCGTCGCCCAGTTTAGCTTGGGAAGCTTCCTGACGCTAGCAGGAAGTAGCGGGGCCCCTGACATCCACTGACAGATCCTTGTTGAGCTGACCTTGACTTGGTCTGTGCTGGCTTTCGGAACATACAACTTCCATATCCGAGCTTCCCATGGCGGCTCGAGCACGGGCCAGGTCAGTATTCCCCCGTCACGGTGGACCTCGCCGAACCAGGTGACTCTCTAGTGCAATGATCAACAATGCCAATCGAGATCGTCATACGCAGCTTTCGACTTCAGAGCTGAAGCCATCCAGCTGGACTCTAAGGCATACGTATTCTCCTCTTCTCGGAACCACAGGCTCTTGAATATACACAACTTCAATCTCCGGAAGCATCATTCAATGAAGGACACTTCAACTCAACATGTGTCTAAAAATAGCCCATTGAAGAACGCCATTCCCAACGCCGAAAAGCGAGCGGACAAAAGCCTCCCAACGCTACATCATACAAACAATGTTTATCGCCGGTCATTTCCCATAATTCCAACTCAGCTAGCCCGATTACCTCCCCTGCATCCCACGTCCGTCTCCCAGGACCCCGGGAAGACGCTCGCATGCATGTCTCAGTTACACCACACACATCCCATCCCATGCTTCACCAGCGCGCTTCCTCCTCGCGGCTGATAATCGCACCCCAAATCTTTTCCTCCTCCTCGGCCTGATACCCAGAGTTCTCGCCAATGATGGTGAGGGTGCCATACAACGTCATCTTTTTGCATTTTCTGCACCGCGGCACCTTCAGCATTACGATCACTGTCGTGCTCCACGAAAAAGAAAGGGGGCATCTGTGACTTACAGGAAGCCAATGATCGTCGTGTTGCCATAAATCTCGAGCTCCTTGGCCTCGCATGTGCCGGTAACTCTCAACTTTCCGAAGCCTTTGACCTTGTCACTGGACCATCCTCATTAGCTTCCAATCAGTCAAGTGCTTGAAGCCGGTCGTATTGCTTACCCGACAGACATGTACCCCGCCACATTGATGTTGCCATACGCCTTCATCTTGCCCCTTGCAAATTCATCAGCACGCAAAATTTTCCAAACCCGAATTCTCCGAGGGACTTACTCGCAGGACAGATTTCCGTTGACCTCAATCCCTCCATACGCCTCCACTTTATCCCGGACGTCAAAGTCCCCGTTGAACGTGATATTACCCCCCGACTTCACCGACCCAGCAACCTCGATGGGTCCCTGGAGCGTGATCTCGCCCTCGCTCTTGATGGACTTGGACTTGAGCACCGACTGCTTGGGTGTCCCCGGGTCAGCAGTGGTTGGTGCCGTCGTCGACGAGGAAGCATAGTAGCTGTCCGTCCCCGCCGGTGATGCGTACTGCTCTTCGTAGTTGTGTTCTCGCGTGCTCTCCTGGCCTTTCCTGGACGACTTCTTGGATCTGGAACAAGACATTGGGAGAATCAATAGACACGCAGCAGCAAATGCAGAATAATGTTGAGAATAATGCTCCGTGAAAGATGAAGGCGATGCCCATTCTAAACCTCGTCTCTATTCGAGGAGATCCCAAACTCATATATGGAGATCCCCAAGTCCCCACGCTCCTCAAGAACGCCGTCCTCGAAGAAAAGTCATCGATATCCCACCGACAAACGCCTCAGCCGCATCATACAATCCACAGAGAAGCACGCAAAGCTGAACACTCCAGGTTGCATCCGACGCAATATCACTTTCCTCCCCCCCCCCCCCCCCCCCCCCCGCGAACCCCAGCAAGAGTCAACCTCGACCATTCCCACCTCCGCGCAGAACATGACCGGTCACCACCAGAAGCAAGGGCCCGAGAGCACCAGATAGGCTTCCGATCGACCGTCACGCAACGTCGAACAGGTATGCTCACCTGCGCTAAGATGTGCATGTCCCAAGAAATGCAAGGCAAATCATCGTCACCACCATCCCAAGAAACAAACACCATGACCCCGGCTGCACATCACCGCCCTGCGCCGGGCAAATCATCCCGCCCTCACCCACGCCTCCCCAAGCGCGGCAGACGCCGGAGCAAGCATCCATCCCGTTCGTGACCATGACCATGTCCGCGCCCCCATGAACACCTGAACACATTCCTCTCCATAGTCTCAGTTCATCACCAATACCCGGGAAACAGAAACCCTGGGCAGTTCCCTCCCTGGACCCCGGTGGGACCCGCAAAAAGAAAGCCTGACAAGAAACACAGTCCAAGTAACCCGCCTTTCGGTATCAAGCCCTGCGCAAATCATCCCGACCCGAGGAGGGGAGGGCGCAGCCTCGCCTGCACCCTTACAAAGAAAAGCATGCCCAATGTCCGACCACCTCGCTACATTAACCAACGAAGAAAAAGTGAGCTCGCCTCACCAAAACATGCATTGATTAAGAGCGGGCAGAAAAAGGGTGCCTCAGCTGTGTTCTCCGCCCATGTCGCGTAGACACCGCAGCAAAGCCCGAATGAATTGCTCCTTCTTCCCAGGCTGCCAGGCTCTTGCGTCGTCGCATTCTTGGGCTCGTCTACCACCACTACTACCCCCCACCCTTTCAGCCCTACGTCGGCTGCCCGACCACTCAACTCAACTCCTCCTCCAGCCGGTCCCCAACCAGGCGCCAGAGACATTTTCCCGCTAGCGCGCTGCACAGAGCCGACTGATATGGACTAGCCTCCAGCTCTATTGTCCAGGCGAGGCTGACTGCGGGTTCATCATGACCGGCACGTCACCCCCGAAAGGGCAAGATCGTAGCGACGAGACCAGTGTATGCCCAGGTTTGCTGCATTCAAAACCGGTTTCTGGGAGCCCACACCGAGACACAGCTTTTGAAGAGATATTGAGTTTTGCATTACTCAAGATAGATACGAGAGAGAGAAAAGGAAAAGCAAAAAAAGCAGAAATGGTATACAGAAGCTTGATGACTGACGGAGCAAGGCGCAACATCCATGTTGTGCACCTTTCGCAGTCCCCGTGGTCCGTCCCAAACAGATGGCCAGCCTCCTCTTCTGCCTGTTACAAAGCTGCAAAAAGCAGCTCGCAGTAAACCCGCCCGTGGCTGATGACGAGTTGCCCGACAAACTCCTCTTGAACCCAAAAGCAATTCCCAAGTCTGCCCCGCCAAGCTGGCCGTCCCCCTAGTTTACAGTACAAAGTGAGGCAAGCTCTCCCCACACTTATGCCTCTCCGCCACCGACGAAGCCGAGGCCGACGCCTGTGAGGAATGCAGCAGCAACCCAGGCACCGGCGTAAAGGGCAGCACCATAAGACTCAACGCCGTTGACCGTCATGAAAGTCTGCAAGTATGTGTTGACACCCGTCAAGATCATAGCCACCGTGGTGCGGAAAATGACGACCTTTGCGCGTGTGGTGTAGCCCCACAGGTTCCAAGCCAGGGTCTCGCCCAGCGTAGCCGTGGCGGGGTCGAACTCCTCCAGCTTACCATCCTCCATGGTCTTGCCGGTCGCCACAAATGGTGTGAAGATGTAGGTCTTCGCGGCGATGCCGAAAGCCAATGTAACAGGGAGCGTGGCCACGAAGTTGGAACCGTAGGCGGGCTCCAAGGTGGGCAGGCCCTTGAAGTACATCACCAGTGCCGTCGGCAGGTACGTCTTGTACGAGACGAAGAGGGTGGCGCTGTAGGTGGCCGCCGCGAGGACGGTGGTGAAGATGGTGATCGAGACGTCGGAAAGGAGTTCGCGGTTGGCGACGTTCTTAGCGCCGGCGTGCGCGCCCGACAGAGGCCTAAGGAGCTGGAATGGCACAAAGGTGGAAAGCATCTCGATGCCCAGCGCAGAGATCGCAGTGGCAGGGCTGATTTTGTAGAAAGTTGCAATGAGGTAAACCTAAACATAACTTCTCGTCAGTACGCCGAAAAGCTTGATTCGGATGTCTCCGAAACACCGTCCACGACGAGATTGAACATACCGGTGGACCATGCGCGAGCAAGTTGAGCGCAGCGAGATCGTAGCTGTCGAAGTTGCCTAACCAGCCCAAAGCAAGCTCGAATCTGTCCAAAACAACCCATATCAGTAAACGCGCATTCAATGCGGTTATCGCGTGGCCAGTCGCTGATGGAGCTCTCGCGAGCTCAGGACAACTCACATTCTCCATCCAGCCAGTGCCGCGACTTCTCCCCAGGTATCAAGGCTCTTGGATATGCCTGCCAGCTCTCCGCGACTCCACTCGCTGAGGAAGCTGTAGCACAAGCTCGAAATGCTGAAGCTCAGGACGGCGACGAGGGGGAACTGTAGCGCGGTAGGCAGGTGCGAGCGCTGCCGTCTGGGGTGCTGGTGGTCGCGATCCCTTTCGCTGATCTGCTCTGTGATCTCCTCCTTCGTTGTGACCTCCGTCGCATCCTTGACGACGCCGAGCGCTTCGAGCTGTCCATCAGGCGCGGTGGCCAGGGTCTCGAGGTTGCTCGCGACAGGTTCGACCGCGCGAGTCTTGGTATCGTCAACGTCGATGTCGACGTCTTCGACGGGCCGTGAGGCAGCTCTTCTCCTGAGAGTAGGCATTGTGATTTGTTTTTTGGTATGTTGTGGAGGTGTTGTGAGTGTCTGCTTCGAAGAGCCGATTAAAAGGAGTAAGTGCACCTAGCGATGCGCCCAGCAAGAGGGGTAGAGGAAAGGAAAAATCGGGCGATAGCACGATAAGACGACGCGAAGCGCAGCTACCGTTTGCGACTTGCGACAGAATGAACTCAAGAAGGTAAGAGGGAGAAAAAAGTGAGACCTTCCTCTCCCACCAATACGGGTAATCGTGGCCTATGATGTTGACGAGTGGAGAAGAAAGCTGTGCCTGCGGGTAAGGTGACGTCGCCGGGGAAACATCAGCTAGAGGAAGGTGGTGAACGCGAAGGACGCTGAAAGGGCCCGCAATGGCTGATTGCCTTAGGTAAGGCAGCTAGGTTGGAGGCCTTGACAGCTGGCGCTAGTTGGCAGCCAGCCCGGGGCAGCTAGACCGTCCTGCTTGTTGTCGCTGCTGCCACTGTCTGCTCATTCCCCATACCGCCGGCCCCCGAACGACCGCCGGGCTTCCGCCCACTGCAGCACCCCAAACTCCACAGCGAGCGGGTGCTCGCAAGGATCGAATTTTACTTGCTCCGTTTATTCGATCCGTATGTTGCAGAGTTTTCTCTTCTCTGCTTTTTTCCATCCTCTCCTGCATGCTTTCATCATCTTCCTCGCCAACCTAGAAACATAAAATACCCAATTGCCTCCCTCGCTTCTCGGGCCAAAACATTTCCTCTCTCTCTAACGCTTTGTTCCACCAGCCTCCCGTGTGCTTGCCTGGGTGCCTGTGTGATCTTCAAAGCTTGATGAGCTCACATGCAAATCTTCGCCTTCGGGAGCAAAGCTCCGGGGATGCTGCCTGGTTAAGTTTGTTGCTGGCTTGAGCCTGCCAACCTGCCGCATCAATCCAGCCAACCATCGCCATGGTAAACAAGAGCCACCGACTACAGCCAGTCATTTATTGCCAACCATCTCCGTCATCAAGGCCAAACAGGTCACAACTTGCACATGCCGATTTTTGATCTTTTTTTCTCTTTATTTCTTATGCTGGGGTCAAACCGATCAAAAGAGCTTGTGGCCATTCGTGTGGACATCGCACTCGTTTGTATCGTAAGATCCATCAGTGTGATAGTTTGGGCGTTCGCTCGACGCCTTCTCCGTCTCTCACTTTAACCTCGTGGAGATGCAATCTCGATCTCCTTCCCCCCGGCGCCCAACGCCTTGCTCCCCCTCCCATGGCCTCGCCATGATGATGCAAGATCGGGCCCTCCACTCCTTGGTGCTGAGAGATCGGCGGCGGAGACAGAACCACCTCATTTACAGGGTGTAGTATATGGTGGTACAAATGAAACATTCCTCCCCTCGTCTTCCCCTCGCGGTCATGAACTCATATCCTCAGATATCGTCGGCATCAATGGTCGATGGCAGAAGCGCTACTCTTCCATCCGTCCGAAAACGCCATCGTCGTCCTCGTCGCTTCGAGATCGAGATCGACGGTCAAAGTCGTCATCGTCCATGACACTGTCGTTGTCCTCCATCTTGACATCGGCGCCGCGAACTTCACCGCGAGTGAAGCTCTCGGGCTGTCTGCTGGGGAAGCTGCTGAGGAATCCTGCGCTGAACCCTGCGCCGAAGCCACCACTGAACCCTGCACTGGAGAATGATGCGGCTTGATCGAGGTATTGCGCCGGCAGAGGAGGCACGGGAGGAGCATCAGCGGGAACACCCACCGGGCGCCCGTTGTTGCTGTTGAAACTGCAGCTCAGGAGCTCGACGGCAGCCGCTAGGTCACGGTCTTCTTGACCAGTAGCATTCCTTCCTGACGACGGTGGTCGCTGGTCCTGGCTGTTGTGGCGGAAGTGGGAGGAGATTCCCGAGTCATGGGGCATGCTGCCCGTCACGAGTGGGTTGGTAGAAGGCGCAGATTGAT